ATAGATAGATAGATAGATAGATAGATAGATAGATAGATAGATAGATAGATAGATAGAGTGAGAATAATAACTAACATAGACACTATGGAAAAAGCTATGTTGACAATAAATACCAATAGAACACGAGGGAATAAAGGAAAGCTTGAGACACAGATGATTCCTAGAGATGTTAGGAAGCCTTATCTTAGGATAAGAGTCGGAGAGAAATTATATTTGAGCGAACTCCACTCATAACTTCAAAAGTCATTGCATTTAACAACCGGCGGCTGGAATGGTGGGGGTCCTAAAGCTGAAGATCGATCAAGCAGGAACAAATAAGTGAGTACACACACACACACACACACACACACACACACACAACACACACACACACACACAAAGACACACACACACACACACACACACACACACACACACACACACACACACACACACACACACACACACACACACACACACACACAGACAAGTCATCATGTGTTTAGGAGGGCGGCCTGAGCCTCTAACAAGACTTGACCATTACTGAAAACTGACCAATAACATTTTCTCATTGAATTTTTTGGTCCTGAGATTTTTTTTTATTTACACGTGAAAGAAAAAAACCAGCCTTAATACTAATGGGGAAGACTGAAGTGTATATGTACATCAAACCACATCCTACAGCATAATACATCCAATCTCGTACAAAAAATATTTGAAAGTGAATACTTCTGTATACCAACTCCACAACTTGCTATAAATACAAAAATATCTGTAAGAACACATCAACAGTTGTATGTATACTTGAACCCTGACGAGTTGCACGATAAATGACCTGTGGATGACACGAACACCCATGCACATTATACACTAATTATCTATAAGGAGGAGGACTTTACAAGACGCAGAAATAAATAATAATAAATAAATAAATACAGTAACAAAATACAGTTATTGTCAGCCTTTAGCGTAGGAGAGTCATCCACAGTTTGTGAGTACACGGGTGAACTGTTCACTTTGTTGTTGAACAGTGCACATGTGCAACCTGGGGCTGTTGAACAGTATTCATGTGCACCTGGACCTGTTGAACAGTGTACATGTGCACCTGGACCTGTTGAACAGTGTACATGTGCATCTGGACCTGTTGAACAGTGAACATGTGCACCTGGACCTGTTGAACAGTGTACATGTGCACCTGGACCTGTTGAACAGTGAACATGTGCACCTGGACCTGTTGAACAGTGAACATGTGCACCTGGACCTGTTGAACAGTGTACATGTGCACCTGGACCTGTTGAACAGTGAACATGTGCACCTGGACCTGCTGAACAGTGTACATGTGCACCTGGACCTGTTGAACAGTGAACATGTGCACCTGGACCTGTTGAACAGTGAACATGTGCACCTGGACCTGTTGAACAGTGTACATGTGCACCTGGACCTGTTGAACAGTGAACATGTGCACCTGGACCTGTTGAACAGTGAACATGTGCACCTGGACCTGTTGAACAGTGTACATGTGCACCTGGACCTGTTGAACAGTGAACATGTGCACCTGGACCTGCTGAACAGTGTACATGTGCACCTGGACCTGTTGAACAGTGAACATGTGCACCTGGACCTGTTGAACAGTGAACATGTGCACCTGGACCTGTTGAACAGTGTACATGTGCACCTGGACCTGTTGAACAGTGAACATGTGCACCTGGACCTGTTGAACAGTGAACATGTGCACTTGGACCTGTTGAACAGTGTACATGTGCACCTGGGGCTGTTGAACAGTGAACATGTGCACCTGGACCTGTTGAACAGTGAACATGTGCACCTGGACCTGTTGAACAGTGTACATGTGCACCTGGGGCTGTTGAACAGTGAACATGTGCGTCTGGACCTGTTGAACAGTGAACATGTGCACCTGGACCTGTTGAACAGTGAACATGTGCACCTGCGTCTCTTCAAGAGTCCTCAAGGTTAACCAAAATGATAAAAATATAGTAACATGCTCAGACAACTCATCCTCCGAATAGACAGTACGTTTTAATACTAAATGTAATAAGTACTTTCCTGACAGTCGGCATAGTACATAAATACACTTAATCACCAGTATCGCACCAAAATATTGTAAATATTAGAGTTGCCCTAAAAAGCTGTATAGAAAACCACGACCACAGAGATGTTGGAAGTGTGGGAGGACAAGCATGTAAATAACATTTATTGCTTCTTAATTACAATTAGTACTTAACCTACAGCTATATTGATATTACAGTTTTATAAAACTAATAAAACGAAACTAATGTTTTTCAATAAATTATAAAGTAACTCAAGATATTTTTAAATTTTCTATAAAATCTCTATTATTTAATAAAACTGAAAAAGAAGTTGTATATATTTAAAACTTGTGAATGTAGGCTTAAACACGGAAAGATTAATCTAATTAGTATATGTACATTAACACGAAATAAGGTGAATATATGGGGCGGTTATTGTGTGTAAGGGAACAATTAAGTGTACTTATACTATGTAGGCAGTCAGGAATGTACTTATTACATTTAGTATTAAAACGTACTGTCTATTCGGAGGATGAGTTGTTAAACCTGTCTCCAAACCTTGCTATAGTGACACCTCGCTATAGTGGCACCTCGCTATAGTGACACCTCGCTATAGTGACACCTCGCTTTAGTGACACACCACGCATGTACAAACTAGACTGAGCTGAGTAACAAGATCTACACAACTTCGTTAATATGGCATTATTGCGTTTCAGCAGACTGATCGGAAGCTTACCATGCACCAAGGCGTAACCGGTGGGAAGGAGGCAAGGGAGTTACGTCCTTGTGGAACCTACCAGTACTAGTCAAAGTGGGGGGCGATGCTCGGGGTGTTGAAGGCTTCCTGATAAGTATCATCATATTCTCTGTGTCAGCCAAACACTGTCCCTAGTGATGATGTTACCACCATCATCTAGGAACACTGCCTTAGTCACCATCAACTAGGAGGAGTAATGTTTGTGAGTAGCCTAGTGGGGGGTTGGTGGAGAGGAGGGCCCCTACCCCCCGGGGTACACGAGGCACACCAGACTGTTGGTGGTGGCAGCGTGCGCTTAGCGGGATGACCGAGCACCAGCCACCACACCATAATAATGATATTAAGTAATGTTACTTATCAGGGGCGAGCAAGGCGTGACCTACAGTACTCACGCTACAACAACAACAACAAGAGACACACGCTGGGGCTGCGGGCAGCGGGAACCAGCCCGCTGACCAACATACTTCATCTACCCTATCTTATACATATAAAAAAAGGAGTAATCTGTGTTTGCACTTGCGGTAGAGGTGGAGTGCCAGCCTCCGGAGGCCCGAGTGCGGGAGTGAAGGTTGTCAACAGGGTGTCACACCTGCTTGATTCACGGGCGTGAGGTTGGCGTTGCTGTAAGGCAGCCATTACTACCACAGTTAGCAAGGCCACTGCTACACTCAGCAGGGCCACCGCTACAGTCAGCAGGGCTACCGCTACAGTCAGCAGGGCCACTGCTACAGTCAGCAGGGCCACTACCATAGTCAGCAGGGCCACTGCCACTCACTGCACAGCCGTTACATAGCCTCCGGGTGCATGGTCAGTAGAGGAGCAGTAGAGCAGCACTCTCCAGAGTTCACTAGTGCTAAGTGACGAGGCTTCACGAGCACACACACACGCAACAGCTCCTCGTCATCAGTTCTCTTCACTAACACACTCAATTTCGCGAAGCGCATTGTCTTCTTAAGGCACGACGCTGTTGCATAGTTCTGTAAGCACTCTCATCTCTCTCTGAGACACGAACACTTATAGTTTTTTCAGCAGCGAATATTATCGTTCAATTGAACTTTGAACTTTTGTATTGGTAATCAACGAAATCATCTCGTCAAATATTAAGTCGAATTACATTTCTAGTTTAGAGACCTTTAGTATAACATGGTTATTGATTCATAAAATTGTACGGTGGTCATTGTAAGCATAATTTACATTTATATACATGTTTTACAAGGACCACCAGATGTGTGTAGAGAGACGAGTGTTTAACACCATCACTCACGTTCATAACCATATTATACCATGTCATTGACCACACAACCTCAACTATTACACACACATAAAATATATGATAAAATATATAACTATATATATATAAATATATATATATATATATATATATATATATATATATATATATATATATATATATATATATATATATATATATATATATATATACACATTATAGGGAGACGACTGGGGGTGGACTGGAGGTGTTGGCGGTGGACTGGAGGTGGAGGAAGTGGGGTGGAGGTGGGGGTGGAGGGCGTGGCGGCGGCAGATGTAGGTCGCGAGAAGCCACGTTATTCTGACGTCATGACTTCCACCACCACCACAGCGGCCGCCGTCCTCACCACACCTCTAGCACTTGATGCACTAGTTGAGTGACTGCTAGTGGCTCTCAGGCGTTCAATGTGGCGGGAATGAGCCGGACAGAGCAGGGGCGGACCCCGGCGCTGTCACCTCCACTGGTCCCGGGCTTCCTCACCTCACTCCTCACAGACATGATGAGATTGGTTGCTTATCCACAACCAGTTTACCACACAAGGCTTATTCCTGTTTGACGTGTATTGTCATGATAATATTGGCTGCTGTGGAGACCTGACTCCCGTGAATATGTTAAGGAACTGTGTTTTCTCAACTGAACTTAGCTGTAATTTGTCAAAATCATCTTACTAAATTGTAAACAGTATGTGGTGTGGAGGAGTGAGTGGTGCCGTGTGTGGCCGCTCCAGGTGAAGGTGTCACGGTTGTGGACGTCTGTGAGGTGAGGGAGGTCTCGCTGGTCCAGTCAGTGAAGGGGGAGCCCAAATTCCAGTAGGTCCGGGGTCCAGGTCCGGGTGGCAGACAGCCCCTTTCCGGGGGGGAAGGCAGCGGTGACCCACATGGGAAGTGGGTCGGGGGGAGCTCTCTCCTCCACCCCCACACCCCCCTCCTCCCCTTCACAACATACGCGCACATATTATAATCTGTTTTTTTTTTCTGCGTAGAACTTAGCAATAATTGTCTGTGAAAGGTAAGGGAAGCCACTACTGTCTGTGGTAGAGAGAGGGAGGGTGAGGGGTGGCAGCATCTTCCTCAGCAGCACCACACAGCTCTCACTTCACGCTCAAGCGCATGTTTCGCTCTTACACATACACAGCGCTTGTTCAAGTCCAAGACCAATGTCAAGGGTGAAGTGCTGTTTGTCTCAAGGGGCTGCGCTCGTTCTCTGACTCTCCGTAGCACTCGTAGTTAGTTACCTGAAGCAACACAGAGGGTAGTAGGCCCACCTCTGGGTAGGCCCACCTCTGGGTAGGCCTAGGGCTTGTCACCACCAACGTAGATCCCGGATGTGGATGTTCTCACATTTGTGGGAAAAATATCACACGTCAGGTGCAGGAATTTAGCTGGCGTCCGCGGGATGGTTATAAGTGAGGACCATTGGTTGAGTTGTGGCCGCGGGCGATGGCGAGGGTTGTGATAATCTCAGAGTTGTAGAATGTAAGTAATAAATATGATGAACCGGGTGAGGGTGGAGCGGTGTTTAGTCCCTGGCCACACGCTTGTGGATTTGGTAATGCTTGAGCAGGTGAGCTTTTTGTCGAAACGCCTTGCCGCAGGTCTCGCACTTGAAGGGTTTTTCACCGGTGTGGGTCCGGAGGTGGACCTTGATGTTGGACTTGTTTAGGAAGCCTCGATTACAGACGGTACAGCGGTGGACGGGCTTGTCTTTGGTGCCCTCAGTGGTGATGGGAAGTTTTGTACTCTTGTTCATGCGGTTGCGGCTCTTGTTTTTAAGTCCCGGGAAGTCCAGGCCCATCTTGGTGGAGGACAAGTCCGTGGACTCCGGCGAGGCCAGCTGAGTCTTGTCTAAGTAAGATCTGGTATCGAACTTGGTTATAAAAAGATCATCTGTGGTGGTGACGAAGGTGGAGGGGTCGGTGGAGTGTGGCATGGAGTCCTTGTGCGAGTAGTAGTGCGCGCGCGCGAACATGGGGTCGGCCTTGAGCAGTCCGCCTCCGACCTCCTTCAGCCCCTGCGTCAGCCGCGCCTGCAATATTGGCATAGATATTTCGTGCTTGTATTGTGCCTCAGAGACGAGGCCATGCAGGTAGTTGTTGTTAGTGACGGCGCCCGCCGCCAGGAGGGAGGTGAGCATGGGCGAGTGTGTGGGCGTGCTGGCGTACTCCACGGTGCTGTGGGCCATGCTGGTGCTGGAGGGCAGCTGCGTGGCCATGGAGGGCGAGTGTCCCGAGGGCGACATGGTGGAGTTGATCAAGGGGTCCGCCGGCTCCACCTTCACGCCGCCGCTCATGTTCTCGAAGAAGGCTTCGATGTCCTGGAATTCCGGGGCGTTGAGGGGCTCGAGGGACTCTGGCAGCATGATGCTGTTGATGCTGGTGTTGATGTTGTTGTCGGCGATGGCGCTGCCGATGATGGAGGCGATGTCGTCGATCTCCTGCGTGATGCAGTAGGCGTGCGGATCGTGCTTGTGCGGGGACGACGACGAGGTGGTCGTGGTGACGGGCTCCGGCGTGCCGGAGTAACCCAGGAAGGTGTTGGTGTTGGTGATGGCGCCCTTGTACTGGCTGCCGGGGGAGTTGGACGACGTGGACGACGTGTCGTGCCGCGACGACGCCGAGGTGTCCGGCGACGCCGTCAGGTAGTCCAGGGGTTCGAGGGGCTTGAGCTCGGCGAAGGTTGAGTTAGGAGGCGGAAGGTCGCGCAGGAAGGAGTCGAGCGGGTCCATGGCTGCCTTGGTGTCGGCGGCGCCGTAGCGGGGTTCGAGCAGGTCCTCGTGCACCCACGCCTGCACACCATCCGGCGAGTCCGCGGGCTGAGGGTAGAATTTCATCGGGACTCCTGGATGGGGCGTGGTTGTGGGCGTGGTTGTGGGCGTGGCGCATGAAGGGCGGGGGCGTGGTCAGCGGGAGCACTGCATCATAGGGCGGGGCCTCGCCACACTCCTGCAACACAACACACGGCGTTAACACACAAGGAGAGGACAGCAACACAAGGTGTACACAACACACAAGGAGAGGACAGCTACACAAGGTGTACACAACACACAAGGAGAGGACAGGTACACAAGGTGTACACAACACACAAGGATAGGACAGCTACACAAGGAGTACACAACACACAAGGATAGGACAGCTACACAAGGTGTACACAACACACAAGGAGAGGACAGGTACACAAGGTGTACACAACACACAAGGATAGGACAGCTACACAAGGTGTACACAACACACAAGGAGAGGACAGGTACACAAGGTGTACACAACACACAAGGAGAGGACAGCTACACAAGGTGTACACAACACACAAGGAGAGGACAGCTACACAAGGTGTACACAACACACAAGGATAGGACAGCTACACAAGGTGTACACAACACACAAGGAGAGGACAGCTACACAAGGTGTACACAACACACAAGGATAGGACAGCTACACAAGGTGTACAGAACACACAAGGAGAGGACAGCTACACAAGGTGTACACGACACACAAGGATAGGACAGCTACACAAGGTGTACACAACACACAAGGAGAGGACAGCTACACAAGGTGTACACAACACACAAGGAGAGGACAGCTACACAAGGTGTACACAACACACAAGGAGAGGACAGCTACACAAGGTGTACACAACACACAAGGAGAGGACAGCTACACAAGGTGTACACAACACACACACACCTGGACAAAATAAGTATATGGAGCACCACTTGGCAAATGGAATTTAATGTCAATAAATGCCATGTTATGGAATGTGGAATAGGAGAACATAGACCCCACACAACCTATATATTATGTGAGAAATCTTTAAAGAATTCTGATAAAGAAAGAGATCTAGGGGTGGTTCTAGATAGAAAACTATCACCTGAGGACCACATAAAGAATATTGTGCGAGGAGTCTATGCCACGCTTTCTAACTTCAGAATTGCTTTTAAATACATGGATGGCGATATACTAAAGAAATTGTTCACGACTTTTGTTAGGCCAAAGCTAGAATATGCAGCAGTTGTGTGGTGCCCATATCTTAAGAAGCACATCAACAAACTGGAAAAGGTGCAAAGACACGCTACTAAGTGGCTCCCAGAACTGAAGGGCAAGAGCTACGAGGAGAGGTTAGAGGCATTAAATATGCCAAAATTGGAAGACAGAAGAAAAAGAGGTGATATGATCACTACATACAAAATAGTAACAGGAATTGATAAAATCGATAGGGAAGATTTCCTGAGACCTGGAACTTTAAGAACAAGAGGTCATAGATATAAACTAACTAAACACAGATGCCGAAGAAATATAAGAAAATTCACTTTCGCAAACAGAGTGGTAGACGGTTGGAACAAGTTAGGTGAGAAGGTGGTGGAGGCCAAGACCGTCAGTAGTTTCAAAGCGTTATATGACAAAGAGTGCTGGGAAGACGGGACACCACGAGCGTAGCTCTCATCCTGTAACTACACTTAGGTAATTACACTTAGGTAATTACACAGAGGACAGCTACACAAGGTGTACACAACACACAAGGAGAGGACAGCTACACAAGGTGTACACACAACACATACAACACAATACTCACACATGCATAAAAATATATCCTGCTGCATGCAACCTATCGTCCTCACATATAATATAAAGCAAGATAAAGTCAGGTGTATTGAGAACATAAGTTATTACATAGAAATACAATCTATGTTTTCCCGTAGGCCTTTATTAAATGTTTGTGCTGTGGAGTACTGTGACCTGTCCGGGATGTGGTGGTGGTGTCTGGGATGTGGTGGTGGTGTCTGGGATGTGGTGGAGGTGTCTGGGATGTTTGGGGCTAGCCATACCCAACTTTGCAGGGTAAACGGTCTGGGGTACAAGACGTGCATAGGGTGCTCGGGGTCGGCTAAACCCAAATACTTTAAGAACCATCTGCCAGTAACACAGTACAGACAGCTACGGTCATCCGCCCACCCACCTGCTCCCACCTCGTACCTTACACAAGCCCTTGTGAGATTTTCATGAAGTCTGAAGTGAAATCGCGAAAGTGCTTTCCGTAGAGTATAACGGGCATTTTCATGATTAATTAGCCACAGTGGTTGTCAGGGTCAGGTTGGGTTACCGTTACCTGTGGCAGGTGGCTACAGGTGACGGATCTTCCAATCCTGAGCACTCCAGGTGCAAACTCTGTGAGCAGGATCTACGGCACGATCTCCCACACTACGTCACCGAATGTCCAGTTATTAGACCATTCAGACCCGTTGGCATGAGGCACCTAGAGCTTTGTAATTACTTTATTCACTCTCGTGTTCTTGAAGATATCCTCTTAATGCACCCAGAGTCTGCCAGTGCAGACTATTGAACATATGGCCCTGAATGACTAACCATCCTGCGAGATGGGGACTTGTATTACCACTGCTACCTTATTCACTCTTGTGTTGATGATATCCTCATAATGCTCCCAGAGTCTGCCAGTGCAGACTAATCACATGCCTCTGTATGACTAACCATCCTGTGTGATGGGGAGTTTTTAGCATCACGTAGCTAGGTTCTTGATACTCTGTACTCCCCTTCATATAGTCTAGGGCAGCTGCACAAATGCAGATGTACGTAAATGTGTTAATAAAAAATAATTAAAAATCAATTAATTTAATTCATTCGGGTTAAAGTGACGAAAATGGTGTATAAAGAGAAGATAGTGAGTAGTGAATCTGGAAGATGAGAGGAGGGGGAAGATGAGGGGAAATGGGGCTGGGGAAGGTGGTTAATGGGGATAGGAAGAAATGGGGAAAGAGCTGGTGTTGACCGTGTGTAGTAGCCATTACCCAGAGGGGCAGACCGCACACCATTACCCAGAGGGGCAGACCACACACCATTACCCAGAGGGGCAGACCACACACCATTACCCTGAGGGGCAGACCACACACCATTACCCAGAGGGGCAGACCACACACCATTACCCAGAGGGGCAGACCACACACCATTACCCAGAGGGGCAGACCACACACCATTACCCAGAGGGGCAGACCACACACCATTACCCAGAGGGGCAGACCACACACCATTACCCAGAGGGGCAGACCACACACCATTACCCAGAGGGGCAGACCACACACCATTACCCAGAGGGGCAGACCACACACCATTAAATAAATGACAATAACAATCCCCCTCACTATGGGCCATCCTCGCCCCCCCCTCCTCCCCCCTCACTATGGGCCATCATCCCCACCTCCTCCCCCCTCACTATGGGCCATCCTCGCCCCCCCTCCTCCCCCCTCACTATGGGCCATCATCCCCCCCTCCTCCCCCCTCACTATGGGCCATCCTCGCCCCCCCTCCTCCCCCCTCACTATGGGCCATCATCCCCACCTCCTCCCCCCTCACTATGGGCCATCCTCACCCCCCCTCCTCCCCCCTCACTATGGGTCATCCTCCCCCCCTCCTCCCCCCTCACTATGGGCCATCATCCCCCCTCCTCCCCCCCTCACTATGGGCCATCCTCGCCCCCTCCTTCCCCCTCACTATGGGTCATCCTCCCCCCCTCCTCCCCCCACACTATGGGCCAGCCTCCCCCCTCCTCCCCCCTCACTATGGGCCATCCTCCCCCCTCCTCCCCCCACTGCTATAACTGGCTAGTGTGTAGAAAGTTCAACAAGTTCAGAGGAGATCGCTTTACCCAAGTTCCAAGGTCTGGCCGTCCAGGAAACACACATCATCTGCTTCTTGTATGACACATGTGTACGACACATGTGACACATGTGTACTATTGGCCAACGGGGATTCTCGTTATTAATATCACTGGAAGAAGAAGCCAGGGAGGAGAAAGCTTCAATATAACCACCTACTGGCAGGCTTCACGACTCTCACCTCTAATACACTACATGTTTGTGGAGACGTAACTAGTGAGTATAAAATATTGTGCCAATTCGGTACATCATCTGTAGAGTACTGGTGCTTCTTAATGACATATGTAATATAACATAAAAATATATATATATATATATATATATATATATATATATATATATATATATATATATATATATATATATATATATATATATATATATATATTGATAATTATTGCAAATACAGACAATGAGGTAGAACAGTCGTGTTTTTATATATTCCTTATACGTGTGCTCCCTGCCAATATATTCCTTATATGCGTGCTCCCTGCGTTTTGCACGATGTGAACATATTGACATGCTAATATAATGCCATATGAAGAGAAACTGTTGACCTATTGATGTAGATGCAGCAGGTACTAGTTGTGCTCTCTCAGTATGAGCCTGGCGGAAACGTTTGAGTGTGCATGAACGGACGGAGTGAGAGAGTGAGCCTGAGCCCAGTATGCCTCCACTGCCTGTCCCTTGCTGCCTTCCATACTCGGCCTATTCATACACACTCATCAACGCCTCTGTTGTCCTCAATCCTTCGAGTGAGCACAACAAATGTCCTCATTCACCTGGGTCACAACACTGACAGGTTCCCCATTCTCCACACCTGACACAAGCCTAGGCCAGCTGCCGCATCCCACACCTGACACAAGCCTAGGCCAGCTGCCACACCCCACACCTGACACAAGCCTAGGCCAGCTGCCACACCCCACACCTGACACAAGCCTAGGCCAGCTGCCGCACCCCACACTTGACACAAGCCTAGGCCAGCTGCCACACCCCACACCTGACACAAGCCTAGGCCAGCTGCCGCACCCCACACCTGACACAAGCCTAGGCTAGCTGCCACACCCCACACCTGACACAAGCCTAGGCCAGCTGCCGCACCCCACACTTGACACAAGCCTAGGCCAGCTGCCACACCCCACACCTGACACAAGCCTAGGCCAGCTGCCGCACCCCACACCTGACACAAGCCTAGGCCAGCTGCCGCACCCCACACCTGACACAAGCCTAGGCCAGCTGCCGCACCCCACACCTGACACAAGCCTAGGCCAGCTGCCGCACCCCACACCTGACACAAGCCTAGGCCAGCTGCCACACCCCACACCTGACACAGGCCCAGGCCAGCCCTTCACTACGTGCCTACATTATAAAAACTGAATTTGGCCTTGGAGGGAGAGATGGAGGCAGGTGCATTGTATAGTGGTCACTATATGATGATGTAATACCTTAATAAGGTCAGGTGTGTGTAGCTGTGGGCGGCCAGGTGTGTGGCTGCGGGCAGCCAGGTAGCTGTGGGCGGCCAGGTGTGTAGCTGAGGGCGGCCAGGAGCCAGGTGTGTGGTGCTGGTCTCGCTCCTCAGATGTTCCAGCACATATATATATATATATATATATATATATATATATATATATATATATATATATATATATATATATATATATATATATATATATATATATATATATATATATATATATATGGCGCCTAGGGAAGATTTTTATATACTTTTTAATAGGGGCATGTGTGTAGTGAGGGGCAGGTGTGTAATCAGGGGCACGGGTGTTGTGAGGGGCAATATCCCCCCCCCCCGGTGAAGCTGAGGTCAGGTGTGGACAGGTCAGGTGTAGACAAGTCAGGTGTAGACAGGTCAGGTGTGAACAGGTCAGATGTAGACAGGTCAGGTGTGAACAGGTCAGGTGTGAACAGGTCAGGTGTGAACAGGTCAGGTGTGGACAGGTCAGGTGTGAGCAGGTCAGGCGTGAGCAGGTCAGGTGTGAACAGGTCAGGTGTGGACAGGTCAGGTGTGGACAGGTCAGGTGTGGACAGGTCAGGTGTGAACAGGTCAGGTGTGAACTGGTCAGGTGTGGACAGGTCAGGCATGGTCAGGTCAGGTGTGAGCAGGTCAGGTGTGAACAGGTCAGGTGTGAACAGGTCAGGTGTGAACAGGTCAGGTGTGGACAGGTCAGGTGTGGAAGGCCAGGTGTGGACAGGTCAGGTGTGGACAGGTCAGGTGTGGACAGGTCAGGTGTGAACAGGTCAGGTGTGGACAGGTCAGGTGTGGACAGGTCAGGTGTGAACAGGTCAGGTGTGAACAGGTCAGGTGTGAACAGGTCAGGTGTGAGCAGGTCAGGTGTGAACTGGTCAGGTGTGGACAGGTCAGGCATGGTCAGGTCAGGTGTGAGCAGGTCAGGTGTGAGCAGGTCAGGTGTGAACAGATCAGGTGTGAACAGGTCAGGTGTGGACAGGTCAGGTGTGAACAGGTCAGGTGTGAACAGGTCAGGTGTAGACAGGTCAGGTGTGGACAGGTCAGGTGTGGACAGGTCAGGTGTGACCTTGTAAGACCACTCTTGTGTCACCCCCCCCTCCCCCCCTCTCCTTGCGCCTCCAAAACCTGTCCAACACTGCCTGTGTTGCCTCCAAGTTTTCCCATTTCATTCATTGATCTGACGCTCTCTGTTGGTGATTGTGAGTGTCAGGGGCGAGGCTCATGTTGGGTCTTGACTGTTGTTGGTGATTGTGAGTGTCAGGGGCGAGGCTCATGTTGGGTCTTGACTGTTGTTGGTGATTGTGAGTGTCAGGGGCGAGGCTCATGTTGGGTCTTGACTGTTGTTGGTGATTGTGAGTGTCAGGGGCGAGGCTCATGTTGGGTCTTGACTGTTGTTGGTGATTGTGAGTGTCAGGGGCGAGGCTCATGTTGGGTCTTGACTGTTGTTGGTGATTGTGAGTGTCAGGGGCGAGGCTCATGTTGGGTCTTGACTGTTGTTGGTGATTGTGAGTGTCAGGGGCGAGGCTCATGTTGGGTCTTGACTGTTGGTGGTGATTGTGAGTGTCAGGGGCGAGGCTCATGTTGGGTCTTGACTGTTGTTGGTGATTGTGAGTGTCAGGGGCGAGGCTCATGATGGGTCTTGACTGTTGGTGGTGATTGTGAGTGTCAGGGGCGAGGCTCATGATGGGTCTTGACTGTTGGTGGTGATTGTGAGTGTCAGGGGCGAGGCCCATGATGGGTCTTGACTGTTGGTGGTGATTGTGAGTGTCAGGGGCGAGGCCCATGATGGGTCTTGACTGTTGGTGGTGATTGTGAGTGTCAGGGGCGAGGCCCATGATGGGTCTTGACTGTTGGTGGTGATTGTGAGTGTCAGGGGCGAGGCCCATGATGGGTCTTGACTGTTGGTGGTGATTGTGAGTGTCAGGGGCGAGGCCCATGATGGGTCTTGACTGTTGGTGGTGATTGTGAGTGTCAGGGGCGAGGCCCATGATGGGTCTTGACTGTTGGTGGTGATTGTGAGTGTCAGGGCGAGGCCCATGATGGGTCTTGACTGTTGGTGGTGATTGTGAGTGTCAGGGGCGAGGCCCATGATGGGTCTTGACTGTTGGTGATGATTGTGAGTGTCAGGGGCGAGGCCCATGATGGGTCTTGACTGTTGGTGGTGATTGTGAGTGTCAGGGGCGAGGCCCATGATGGGTCTTGTCTGTTGGTGATGATTGTGAGTGTCAGGGGCGAGGCCCATGATGGGTCTTGTCTGTTGGTGGTGATTGTGAGTGTCAGGGGCGAGGCCCATGATGGGTCTTGACTGTTGGTGGTGATTGTGAGTGTCAGGGGCGAGGCCCATGATGGGTCTTGACTGTTGTTGGTGATTGTGAGTGTCAGGGCGAGGCCCATGATGGGTCTTGACTGTTGGTGGTGATTGTGAGTGTCAGGGGCGAGGCTCATGTTGGGTCTTGACTGTTGTTGGTGATTGTGAGTGTCAGGGGCGAGGCTCATGATGGGTCTTGACTGTTGGTGGTGATTGTGAGTGTCAGGGGCGAGGCCCATGATGGGTCTTGTCTGTTGGTGGTGATTGTGAGTGTCAGGGGCGAGGCCCATGATGGGTCTTGTCTGTTGGTGGTGATTGTGAGTGTCAGGGGCGAGGCTCATGATGGGTCTTGACTGTTGGTGGTGATTGTGAGTGTCAGCCCACCACTGGCAGGACCCTCCTGAGGTACTCTCCCCCAGAGAGTACTTCAGTCAGTCACAAGAGCTGCTTCAGAAGGCAGAGTCCATACTTAGTAAACCGTTTACTGTGTATGTGTGTGGTGTATCGCTGTGTATGTGTGGTATATTGTTCTGTACGTGTGGCATATCGCTGTGTACGTGTGGCATATCGCTGTGTACGTGTGGCATATCGCTGTGTATGTGTGGCATATCGCTGTGTACGTGTGGCATATCGCTGTGTACGTGTGGCATATCGCTGTGTACGTGTGGCATATCGCTGTGTACGTGTGGCATATCGCTGTGTACGTGTGGCATATCGCTGTGTACGTGTGGTATATCGTTGTGTACGTGTGGCATATCGCTGTGTACGTGTGGTATATCGCTGTGTACGTGTGGTATATCGCTGTGTACGTGTGGCATATCGCTGTGTACGTGTGGTATATCGCTGTGTACGTGTGGCATATCGCTGTGTACGTGTGGCATATCGCTGTGTATGTGTGGCATATCGCTGTGTACGTGTGGCATATCGCTGTGTATGTGTGGCATATCGCTGTGTACGTGTGGCATATCGCTGTGTATGTGTGGCATATCGCTGTGTACGTGTGGTATATCGCTGTGTACGTGTGGTATATCGCTGTGTACGTGTGGCATATCGCTGTGTATGTGTGGTATATCGCTGTATACGTGTGGTATATCGCTGTGTACGTGTGGTATATCGCTGTGTACGTGTGGTATATCGCTGTGTACGTGTGGCATATCGCTGTGTACGTGTGGTATATCGCTGTGTACGTGTGGCATATCGCTGTGTACGTGTGGCATATCGCTGTGTACGTGTGGCATATCACTGTGTATGTGTGGTATATTGTTCTGTAGGTGTGGTATATCGCTGTGTACTTGTGGTATATCGCTCTGTACGAGTGGTATAACGCTATTTACGTGTGGTATATCGGTCTGTACGTTAGGTTGTTATTGTTGTTTAAGATTCGCTACCCGGAACAAAAAGTTGCAAGTAGCACGGGCTATGGTGAGCCCGTAGTCTCTGTTACGTCAGGTATAACCCACACGAAGCTTTCCTCAAGGAAATAATTATCTGAGAGGTCGGTGTCGCTGAGCGTGTGGGAGGCAAGTCTTGCGATATATGTTGGTGGTAATGGCTTATATTGAGCCGAGCGAGGCAGTGTGGAGGTGAGCACTTGGAGGTCAACCACCACAAAGGTCAATGGTCAGTGTTGACCTGGGCGCCGGGGGGGGCGGGGAGCCTCCATCCTCACACACACTCCGCATCACCAGTTTTTCTGGTGTTATTTTATGTGGGTGAGAAATGTCAGTGGATCAAGGCATCTATTACAAGCTGTACGGTGACTGTGGCATACAGTACACATGTGTCGAGTCAGGTGTGAGCACCTCAGGCTCATGGCCTGCATGTTATCTTGAGATGGTTTCGGGGCGTAGTGTCCCCGCGGCCCGGTCCTCGACCAGACCTCTAACCCTCAGGAAGCAGCCCGTGACAGCTGACTAACTCCCAGGTACCTATTTACTGCTAGGTAACAGGGGCATTCAGGGTGAAAGAAATTCTGCCCATTGTTTCTCGCCGGCGTCCGGGATCGAACCCGGGACCACAGGATCACGCGTCTAGTGTTGTGTCCGCTCAGCCACCGGCCACCTATGTTTGTGAAACACGTGGCGCCAGCTGCCAGCCAGCGAGGCTTAGTTGTGTTGACCCACACTGTCACTAGTGGGGACCATGAGTCACAATAACGAGGCTGAAGACATGATGACCACACCACATGATGACCACACTACATGATGACCACACCACATGATGACCACACCACATGATGACCGTACCGAAAGGGAAATTATGAGATGAGAAAATTCCTAAGGGATAAACCATGGGACACAGAACTCAGAACTAAGTCCGTACAAGACATGATGGACTATGTCACCCAAAAGTGTCAGGAGGCAGTAAACAGGTTCATCCCGGCCCGACAGGAAAAAAACGAGAAGCAAAAGAAGAATCCGTGGTTTAATAGGGCATGTATGAAAGCAAAGGAGCTGAACAAAAGGGCATGGAGGAACTTCCAGAATAACAGAACACCAGAAAGTAGAGAGAGATACCAGACAACCAGGAACGAGTATGTCAGTGTGAGAAGAGAAGTTGAGAAAAAGTATAAAATGATATAACTAATAAAGCCAAGACCGAAACAAAGCTACTACACAGTCACATCAGGAGGAAAACAACAGTGACGGAACAGGTGATGACACTTAGAACAGGTGAGGACAGGTACACAGAGACTGACAAAGAGGTGCGTGAAGAACTCAACAAGAGGTTCCAGGAGGTCTTCACAATAGAACAAAGAGACTAGGAGAGGTGGCAGTAAACCCTGTGGCCTTGCAAGGGTTTGAAATTACAAGAGATGAGGTCCTGAGGCACCTGTTGGATCTGGACATGACAAAAGGCTGTTGGCCCGGACTGAATCTCACCATGGGTATTGAAAGAGTGTGCAGGAGCGCTTTGTTTGCCGCTCTCCATAGTGTACAGTAGGTCACTGGAAACGGGAGACCTACCAGAAATATGGAAGACAGCTAATGTAGTCCTAATATACAAAAACAGGTGACAGACAAGAGGCACTGAAGGCCAGTGTCCTTAACTTGTATACCATGCAAGGTGATGGAGAAGATCGTGAGAAAAAACCTAGTAACACATCTGGAGAGAAGAGACTTCGTGACAAATCGCCAACATGGGTTCAGGGAGAGTAAATCTTGCCTTACAGGTTTAATCGAATTCTACGATCAGGTGACAAAGATTAAGCAAGAAAGAGAAGGATGGGCGGACTGCATTTTTTGGGCTGTCGGAAAGTCTTTGACACAGAAGACGAGGAGACGACGACGGTTGGGTCTGTCCTCAACCATTAGCAAGTGGTGTGTGACGAGAGAGAGTGAGAGAGAGAGAGAGAGAGAGAGAGAGAGAGAGAGAGAGAGAGAGAGAGAGAGAGAGAGAGAGAGAGAGAGAGAGAGAGAGAGAGAGAGAGAGAGAGAGAGAGAGAGTGAGAGAGTGAGAGAGAGTGAGAGAGAGTGAGAGAGAGTGAGAGAGAGTGAGAGAGAGTGAGTGAGAGTGAGTGAGAGTGAGTGAGAGTGAGAGTGAGTGAGAGTGAGTGAGAGTGAGTGAGAGTGAGAGTGAGTGAGAGTGAGTGAGAGTGAGTGAGAGTGAGTGAGAGAGAGAGTGAGAGAGAGAGAGTGAGAGAGTGAGAGTGAGAGAGAGAGAGAGAGAGAGAGAGTGAGAGAGTGAGAGAGTGAGAGAGTGAGAGAGTGAGAGAGAGAGAGAGAGAGAGAGAGAGAGAGAGAGAGAGAGAGAGAGAGAGAGAGAGAGAGAGAGAGAGAGAGAGAGAGAGAGAGAGAGAGAGAGAGAGAGTGAGAGAGAGAGAGTGAGAGAGTGAGAGAGTGAGAGAGTGAGAGAGAGAGAGAGAGTGAGAGAGTGAGAGAGTGAGAGAGAGAGAGAGAGAGAGAGAGAGAGAGAGAGAGAGAGAGAGAGAGAGAGAGAGAGAGAGAGAGAGAGAGAGAGAGAGAGAGAGAGAGAGAGAGAGAGAGAGAGAGAGAGAGAGTGAGAGAGTGAGAGAGAGTGAGAGAGTGAGAGAGAGAGAGTGAGAGAGTGAGAGAGAGAGAGAGAGAGAGAGAGAGAGAGAGATGAAGTAATGGTATTCCCTTCAGGAAGGTAAGAGTAAGGCAAAAGGTTGGGATGGGGTAAAATTTACAGCCCCGCTCCTGTGCCAGGTAAGTCCATTACGGGCTCACCATAGCCCGTGCTACTTAGAACTTTTGTTTCCAGTAGCTGAATCTTAATCAACAACAACAACAACGTTGCGAAGGGATGGAGGTAATAAAGGGGGTGTAAGAATGGGGTAATAATGGGTATAAGAATCGAAATGTAAGAATAAGAGGAGAAAGAAAGAAAAAAGAAAAAGGAGAAACAGTGGGGGCTTAGGCTTATGTCAAGTCACGTTTGTTAGAAAGTTTGAAGCATTTGAGTATTACTGTGAAAGGGAAGAGTCAACAGCAACAGAGCCAGGACTCTGGTTCATGTTTGGTATCAGAGATGCGTCAACAAGACGGCGACTGAGAAGAGTAGAGTCCAATCAATAGGATGATTAGAGTCCCTAACATGATAGAAGAGAGCAGTGTTAGTGTATACAGACTTAACACCTCTCTCGTGTTCTTCAAGTCTGTCAGTCAGTGTACGGCCAGTTTCGCCAAAGTATCGGAGAGGACAAGACCAACAGGAAATAGAGTAGACACCAGCAGCATTAGAAGCAGGAGGAGCAGTGTGAACCAGATAGCTACGAAGAGTGTTAGTTTGTCGACTGGCGAGCTTTACGTCAAGAGGACGAAGGGTATTGGTAACAGTTCTGAGTTCAGATATGAAGAGAAGGCGGAGCACAGTACTAATTGTGTTTAAAACAGATTTGGGATAAAATAATTTTAGTGTAGCTTGAGATTAGGCCCAGTTGATGAAATATAAAGGGTAACCAAGGCGAGAGAAAGATTTGTAAATATAGGAAAATTTCAGAATGAAGAAACTGAGGGTCGGTGATGCGTAGAGCGCGGAGGAAGAGAGAGGATACCGTCTCCTACCATTCTCCTTTCTTAACAGGAGGAAGATGGTAGGAGTAGACGTAAATGTACATGCCACTGTGTTCGAGGTTGTGGTATACAGAGACAGAGAACCCGGACACAGAGCTGTGTCCGGGTTCTCTTGTACACGGAGCGCAGGATGAGCACTGTGCTACAATGTGTATACACTGTGCTACAATAGACCTCAGTGAAGGACAGTAGACAGGAAGCGCACTCAGTGAAGGACAGACCTCAGTGAAGGACAGTAGACCTCAGTGAAGGACAGTAGACCTCAACGAAGGACAGTAGACCTCAGTGAAGGACAGTAGACCTCAGTGAAGGACAGTAGACCTCAGTGAAGGACAGTAGACCTCAACGAAGGACAGTAGACCTCAGTGAAGAAGGACAGTAGTGAAGGACAGTAGACCTCAGTGAAGGACAGTAGACCTCAGTGAAGGACAGTAGAGTGAAGGACAGTAGACCTCAGTGAAGGACAGTAGACCTCAGTGAAGGACAGTAGACCTCAGTGAAGGACAGTAGACCTCAGTGAAGGACAGTAGACTCAGTGAAGGACCTCAGAAGGACAGTAGACCTCAGTGAAGGACAGTAGACCTCAGTGAAGGACAGTAGACCTCAGTGAAGGACAGTAGACCTCAGTGAAGGACAGTAGACCTCAGTGAAGGACAGTAGACCTCAGTGAAGGACAGTAGACCTCAGTGAAGGACAGTAGACCTCAGTGAAGGACAGTAGACCTCAACGAAGGACAGTAGACCTCAGTGAAGGACAGTAGACCTCAGTGAAGGACAGTAGACCTCAGTGAAGGACAGTAGACCTCAGTGAAGGACAGTAGACCTCAGTGAAGGACAGTAGACCTCAGTGAAGAACAGTAGACCTCAGTGAAGGACAGTAGACCTGAAGAACAGTAGAAGTGAAGGACAGTAGACCTCAGTGAAGGACAGTAGACCTCAGTGAAGGACAGTAGACCTCAGTGAAGGACAGTAGACCTCAGTGAAGGACAGTAGACCTCAGTGAAGGACAGTAGACCTCAGTGAAGGACAGTAGACCTCAGTGAAGGACAGTAGACCTCAGTGAAGGACAGTAGACCTCAGTGAAGGACAGTAGACCTCAGTGAAGGACAGTAGACCTCAGTGAAGAACAGTAGACCTCAGTGAAGGACAGTAGACCTCAGTGAAGGACAGTAGACCTCAGTGAAGG